TCGGTCTGAGATGTCCCAGCCTGCTTATCCCATTGTTCACCTCAAAAAATGCAATATTGGGAAACCCCATGCAATCACTTTGGAAGGAGAGCTTGGCCTGAGTACTCTCTAAATCTTAGTCTTTTAAGGCATAGATGGTGGACATGGGATAAGAAACCAGAAGAGAAATTATGGGTCCCAGGAGAAGAGGGGAGGACACCTAGACACCACAGTCAGTTCTCTATGGGCTGTGGGCAAGTTCAACTCAAGGAACAAAAAGCCACCTGCAAGATAGAGGTTTTTCTTATGGTCCAGCTCCAACTGAGTCAGGGTTAATATAATCCCCCTGACATCAGTTTAATGAAGAACAATATATCCCTTTATGCCCATTGCACCTGCTTAGAAATATGCCTCACTGGTGCTTATGGGAATGCCTGAGAACAACACAACTTGGCAGAGCGGGTCTCTTGGGACCAGTGTGTTGGTCAGGAGAACTCCATGCGGAGACCACTACTTCACCAGGAAGCTGAGGGATTGTGCTGGCTTGCTGGCAGAACCTAAGCCACAACACCAGGAAGAAGTCTACTGTATGTCATAGCAAAAGCTCCTCCATAAGAGTTGTATATATGTTCCAACCCTTCAAGAGCCCCCCGTACTCAGAAGCGATGGATCTGGAGCTGTTCATGGGCAATGACATCAATAATAACTGGCCTCTCCTGAGCACCTACCAGGGGCCAGCCCCTGAGCTGGGTGCTTTCTTTATTCCAATCTCCCTGCATCCTCTCAACAGCCCAGCGGTGAGGCTGTTAGTATGAGCCCCATTCCAGAGATGAGAAGACTGAGTTAGAGAAGTTACATCATTTGCTCAAGGTCACACAGTAGTAAAAGGAAAAGCTGGAATTCAAACACAGGTCCCTCTATATCCACAGTCTGGACCTTTAGTAAAGTACCAGGCAGTCTCACACGAAGATTTAAATCCAGGCCCCTGAATTACCAGAGAATGACCAAAAAACAAAAAACAAACAAGTTGCCATCAAGTTGATTTCAACTCATGGCAATCTCCCCTGTGCAGAATAGAATTACATGCCATAGGGTTTTCAACGCTATTTTAGGAGATTGCCAGGCCTTTCTTCTGGGGCACCTGAGTGGGCTCAAAGTGCCAACCTTTCAGTTAGGAGTCATGTACTTAACTATTTGCACTACCCAGGGACAAACATGACTATGATGTAGCTCCCCATGGTCCCCAGAGGGCCACTCACTGCCATCGAGTCAGTTCTGACTCACAATGACCCCCACTGGGTTTCCAAGGCAATAAATCTTTACAGAAGTAGATGACTTCATCTTCCTTCCATGGAGCAGCTGGTGGGTTTGAACTGCCAGCCTTCTGGTTAGCAGTCAAATGCTTTAGGCACTGTGCTCTACCAGAGCTCCTTCCCCAGAGTGCCAGAGGTCCCTCAACTCAGTTTCCAGAGGTCCGATGACAGACAGGTCCTGGCTTTCTACTGAGCTGAGCAACATTCCTTTCACCCACCTGGCAGCCAACAGTCAATCAATGACTGTTATACTGAACTCACCCATAGGGACAGGGCTCCTGAAGGCCTCCCGCTTAGCTACGTATGTGGGGGCATGAGAGGCAGAGGCATCCTCTCACCTGCCTTCCCAGTTTAATGTGGAAATAGAAATGCTGTCTGTGTTCTCATCTGACTGGGACTTGGCTCTGGGAAGTCCTACAAGACAAACAACCACACACACTCACCAAGATGCCTTGAAACACAGGGGACAAAGAAACCCAGGGCAAGCCCTAGGGAACTGGGGATGACCTCAGACACAGAGCGCGCAGCGAGCCAGTTCCGGAACCTCAGCGAATTCCACAGACTAAACAGTGAGAGTGAGCAGGCTCGGGACTCATGCTGACCACACAAGCGATGCTCCCCTGTGGCCACTGGGTGTGCAGAATCTTTGTTAAGAGTGCAAATGGCCTCTCTAGGAACACCCCAGTAAACAGGGACCCCACACGGGCAGCACAGCCGACTCGGGCAGTTCCCCTGCGACGGCTGCTGGTTTTCCCACTACGGTTTCTCAGTTCATCCTCAAAGAGTTTGGGACAGAGCAGAGGCTGGGCCCCCTCTGCTGGGAAAATCAGGATGGAGACTTTTGATAAAGCCTCCGAGGGCAGCTGCAGCCAAAAAACGTCTGCAACAGGAGGGGACGGAGGCTGCAGGAAAGACTTGTACAGTCTCCTGACAGTTTCAGATTTAACTGTTTCAGGTCGGGGGAGGGAGCAGGCACCCGGGAGCACAGGAAGAAAGAAGACATTAATGAAGGAAAAATAGCCAGGGCCATACTAAAAACACTCCCCAGGCACATACTCCTCCCAATGCATAGCCCCTCTTTCAATTAAGAATGTGTCATTTCCTGGGTTATTAAATCCAGATCACAGAACATTCCACTCTGGGACAGTAAACGAGGGTCACGTGCTCAGCGTCCAGCACCAAAACCGGATCGCAGTCCCGGTTTCCGCTCAGCTCCTCGCTGGACTGCTTGGGAGGAAGCTTCCCTGGAGAGCGTGGGCATGGAGAGCGTGGCGGCCCCTTGCACATGGTAACCCAAATGCCCCCGCAGCCACCTTGAAGGGCGTCTTATCTCAAGCCAGGCAGGCCTTGCTGTACCAGAATGTGGGGAAGAAGCAGCATTAGTTTCCACTGAGCCTTGGTTACTATGATAAAATGCCAATGACCTTTGTTGTCGTTGTTGGATGTCGATTCTGACTCATGGCAACCCCGTGTGACAAAGGAGAACTGCCCCACATGGTTTTCTTGGCTATAGTCTTTATTCGATTGCTAGGTCTTTTTCCTACAGAGACACTGGGTAGGTTTGAACTGCCAACCTTTCAGTTAGCAGCCAAGCACTTAACCAATGTTGCAGCAGGGCTTCTTCAATGACCATTACATCTTATAAAGCTCAAGTCATCCAGCAAAAAGTGTGTTTGTTCCTCTTGCCCACTAGTGTGTAAGAAACGTTAAAGTGCCCTCTTAGTGCTGGGCACAGGTGCCTGCAAGCAGGGGTGCCCAACAGTGTCTGTCTCTCTTTTTAGGGTAGGGAGACTACATGCATGGTGTACTTGAACCCTCAAGAGGGGTTCCCACAACAGTCCTTTCCAAACATATAACTAGTTTGGAACCTCTGGTACCTTAGAATCTCCTAACCTGCAGGTAAAACAATTCATTCACAATTTAATTATCCTGAAAGCTGGGCCAATTCCTGTGAAAGGTGAATTGGGGAGAAACTGAATGGCAAAGTGACCTTCAGGGTTAATGCAAGAACTGAGGACCCCAAATGGTAAAGATCCTCAGAGATGAGACAAGTCTGGTCCACATGGTGTTTTCACACAAGTCTGACTTAGCACTAACATTTAGAAGTCAAGAGGTCCCGACTGAGAAGGGGCTGTGTGACTTCTGCTTTAATCCGAGAAATCATCCTAAATGAGTACGCTCAAGCTGCACGCAGGTCTGCCTGGCGTGTGAAGCGGTGCTCCCCGATGGATGCGCCATGTGCTCTCCAGCCCCCGACAGGCCTTTCTCTCCCCCATTTGCCTTGAGAGCTCTTCCCTCATTTCCTTACCCCACCTGCCACCTCTGAGCATTTGAGGTTGCAGCTTCTGACTAGTCTTTCCACCCACAGAGATCTCATCTCCATCCTCAAACCTAGTTCCTTTGTCATGGGCCGCTGGTATTCTCACTGTTTCTGGCTTCATCCTCAAAGTGTTTGGGATGGAGCAGAGGCTGGGCACCCCTGCTAGGAAGATCTGGGGAGATTTTTGAGAAAGACTTAGAGGCAGCTACACCAAACGGTCTGTGGCAGAAGGGGCCCTCTTCCCAGTCCTGAGAAGATGTTTCCAATGCCCTTGGTTCAGCTGCTTCTTTCTGGCCCCAGCTCAGAACCTGTTCTGAGAAAGACATTTATATACTGTGGAAGGCTTCACCTTCAATGCTTTCTGGTCCACTCAGGAGGTGGGGGAGGTAGCAAACCATGCGTCACCAAAAACATGCATCATGAATACTTCTCCCTCCCTCACTTCGATCAGAGGGTGAACACAAGCAGAAAGCTATACTTTTTCCTCTCAAACACTCCCCAACTATGAACACTGAAGAATTTCCCAGGAAGCAGCAGGGCTGCCGGGAAAGAAATGGTCAATTACAAGGTGACAACGACAACAGAAAGCAGGGCAATAATAACACAGGTCTCAGGCATATTGTCAGAAGGGACCATTCCCTGGAGAAGGATATCGTGCTTGGTAAAGTGGAAGGTCAGCAAAAAAGAGGAAGGCCCTCAACAAGATGGACTGACACAGTGGCTGCAACGAGGGGCTCAGGTAGAGCAAGGATTGTGAGGCTGGTGCAGGACTGGGCAGTGTTTCGTTCTGTTGCACACAGGGTCGCTATGAGTTCGAGCCAACTCGACGGCACCTAACAACAGTGATTAATCAATCAAGTTTGTGCCAGACACAGGGCTGAACACTGTCCACACTACTTATTTTTACCATGACCCTACATGCTGTGTGATATTACTCCATTTTCATACATGAGGGGACTGAATGTGGGTGGTCCTGTATTTTTATGCAAATAACATACATCATAAGTTTTATTTTGCCAACCACGCCTTCGCCCACCCCATATTTTCATAAGCATGCTATGCTAATTTCTTTTACATGTTGCTGTAAAAAAAACAAGTTTATTGCTGGTTACCAGAGGTGGGAGGGGAGGGGAGAGAACACTGCAAAAATAAGTAATAATAATAATAATAAAAACTAGCATAGTGTGCCTGTGAACCGAAGTGGGGAGAGAGCAGTTAGCAAAAAAGATATAACGTGAGTTATTTGCATTAAAATATGGTAATTATTGAAGCAGACTTTTCCTCCCTGGGGTAGTGGCTCCCCCTTCTTTCACCAGCGTGGATGAACCTGATATGGTGTGAAAACGTCACCCAAGGCCGACCAGAGGAGCACTCCTGGGTCTACTTACGGTCTGCCATTCATCTCCTCCCCGCTGGCTACTGTCTTCGATTCCAAGGCACTGTTGAAGTTGGAGATGTTTTCGGAAGAGTAGAGGCCAACAGGGTTGTTGTACTGGTTGGTGATAACCCTGGGGGATGTGCTGGAGGCAGGCGAGGCAGTAAAGGGCATGGCGCTTCGGTTGTGGGCACTTCCTATGTGTAGGACTTCCTGCAGGCAGAGAGCAGAAGATAAGTCAAAGGGGGCTTCCTATGTGCACCCCACAATGGGCAGAACAGGCTGAGATCCAGGGAGTAAGGTGCACCAGCTGAGCTACACAGGACCCTGATTCCACACTGAACTTTAACTGAGGGGCTCTGAGTACCTGCTGAGACCCACAGGCCATGGAGGTGAAGTCTCCTAAGAGGGCATGTGTGAAGGTTCATGCCCCAGCTCTGCCCAGTAAAGCCTGATCTCTTGCTGGGTAGCCCTGAGCAGGAGATCCCTTGATGTCTTGGGCTATCAGGATCTAAGTCAGAGCTGAAACCTCCTTTCAGGACACATTCCAGAGGGATTATGGTACCAGGAGGAGAGGGGTATGCAAAGTCCCTTTAGTCAGTTCAGAGCAGGAGATGATAAAAGATGCAGATAAATTCCCAGAACGGATCAGGATTAGACAAACAAGATAAAAAGGCTGTAGTATCACAGGGTGAAGCAGCTGTTAAACAGGCAGAGATGGGTTCCATGCTCCAGCAGAAAGGGGTTAAAGAAGCAAGGGTCTGTTCATTGTGGGAGAACGACAAGGCTCATCAGACAGAAGGCAGGGGATACCTGCTACAGGGTGGTGCAGAGGGGTGCTGCATGAAAGGACCTTTGAGTTCCAAGTGTTCTCATTCCTCTTCTGCTGTCATTTGGCAAAGCACTTCCCACCCTGACCCTGGATTTGCTGGGAGTTCGGTAAATAATTACCACAGCTACAACATTTCAGAGCTTCTTTCAAACACCAAAAAAAAAAATTTAATCTAATCTTTGAAAAAAAAAAAAAAAAAAACAGCTTTTTGATGACTTCAGTCCTTTCTGCAGAGTGTTTCTGGACCAATCCATGACTTCCAGGTAGAGAGCATGTTCTGTGCATCTTGCTAAACTCAACCAGTAACCAGGTGCCCCAAGTCAATTCTGACTCATGGTAACCCCATGTGTGTCGGAGGAGAACTGTGGTTCATGGGGCTTATTTTTCACACAAGTGGATGACCAGGCTGCTCTTCCAAGGTGCTTCTGGGTGGACTCCAACCTTCAACCTTTGGTTAGCAGCCGAGAGCGACAGCGTTAACCATTTGCACTCCCCTGCTAAACTCAACATGCATCCTTCTTCTGGGTCCCTCAGAAAATCTTGCTGAAGCCTCCCTCATCTCTTCCTTAAACACCCAAGCCCAGAACACCCTTTTCCTTTTTCCTTCTTTTTTCATTTTTGCTAAATCTTCAAGTCTTCCGTTGAGAATGGAAAACATTATACATAAAAAATAACAATTCATTATACACCTAATTTAAAATAAAAGACAACATGAAAACAGTTTTACGATGAAGATTTCTTTTTCAGTACTCAGACAGGATTTCTCTTCAGTGAGTCAGACTCAGTAGTTTTATTGTATAAATTATGTTTAGTTGACTTTGTCTGAATATAGGATCGAAAAGCTGAGCCTACACAGATAATTCACACCAGGGGAAGTATAACCAATTAAGGAAAAAATAAAACAAAACTTTACAAGTAATCAAAGAATGGTCAAGTGAACTTTCTGGCACAATCACAGAAAGGAATAATGTATCATCCTGAAGGCTGTGGTCCCAAGGGACACTGTAGTGAGCTGTAGGTGGGTGGCCTGGGCTTCGGCCAACACTACAACACCGTGGGACAGAGGCATGGCTACCGGCCAGATCACAATGTCTTCCTCCTCTCTCCTTTTCCACAGCAACTCCCAGAAGCAGCACTGAGTGCTGGGCACCAGGGAAGGGCTCTTCTTTTTCTGTCACGGCTCAGTTTTTCTCCTGTCACTTCCTGTTCGGTCTGGGGCAAGTTATCTAACCTCTCTGAGCCCATTTCTCTCTCTTATCTTTCAAATGAAGACAACAAAGCCTCTTTGCAAGAACTTGCTGTGACACACGAGTGTGCCAAACACAGTGCCAGGCACACAGCAGGTATCCAACCAGTGTCTGTTCCCTTCTCCTGCCACAGAAACACATTTCCAAATAGAAGAGAAGCCAATGGAAAAGTAGGTAGGGTAGGAGATTCTGATGTTCACTTGGTAGAGAATCTCTCAAGATCTGTTTTGTACATAAAAGGAGTATCTCTACCACCATGGGAATACTGGTCTTTCCAGAAGCCAGGCGGATTCAGGGCTTGCCTGTTGGAAGGGATGATGTAATTGTTTGGGCTCTGTATTTATTAGTCTCCAAGGAAACTCAATAATGAGGAAATGTAAACAAGGTGTGTAACCACGCTGACCTCCGATAAGCTGGGGTGTTGGTTAGCATTACGTGAACTAACAGATCTTTTTATTACAGATGAACTCTGCTCTTACTCATTCCTCATCTTTTTCTTTTTTTAAAAGTGGCTAGAAGTGGAAGATTTTGGAAAACGTAGAGATGGGTAGTTCTGCATATGAATTACGGGAAACAAAAGAAAAACCTACCCAATTTAGATTTCAACGTATTTGAGAATGATTTTTAATCTGCATCGATCAACAGTGATATTACATTAATATTAATACAGTAACTACATTATGTATTTAGGATGAAAATTCAAGTATAGTACAAACTAAAAAGTACAACTGAAACTTAAATGCTTATCTGATGTAAGCAAACACTAGAATTTCCGACATGTATGTTAAAACACAGTCCCTCCTTGTGTGTTATAAAGTATATGAAAGCTTAACACATTAAAATTTAACAATTACAGTAAATTTAAGGAGTTGGCTGAGAGTTCCCAGGGAAACTGAAATTAACTGTGGCATGTTTTAAATTAGTTTGCAAAACTGCCATTTTAAAGGGCAATGTAACAAATGTGAGTGATC